TTTATTTCTTTTGTACCAAAGGTCCTGATAAATCTAAGAAGAAAAGTATCAGAGGCGTAGCCATGCCACCGGACTCCTAAGAAGAAAACATACTCAACCTATTTCAGATTCACCTTACACTTAGAAATCAATTCCCTACACAGCATGCAAGATTCATCTCTAGCATAACAATTCTTGTAATATCTCTGTGCATCCATGAGGAAAGACTATGTATACAAGTGGAACAAAAGGATAACAGGACTGAATTTGTTTGGCAAAACAATAGGTTTTCCTTATTTTGACAGACTAAAGGGGAAGACGAGAATAAAAAGATAGCTGAAAAGTTACAATCCACTGAAGTCAAACTTTACACATGCTCTTGGCAGGTAGGCACACGTGTAACAGCATGCATGTCTGTGAAGGTTTAGATTATCTCTAGTGTTTTAATGCTTTCCCTATGGATTTTTTTTCTTGCTTAAGTGAGGGCACTATCTGCGAAGTCCCCATCCTCTTTACATTCGGGTCACTGTCATGATGCCCGTCAGAAACTTCCACAGCCAGACTTGAGGAGTAACTTGAGCATATTTTACATGTCCTACTTATTTATACTTGTTAAATTAACTGTGTATTGGCTGCTCACCTATCCTACCCATTATCTGTTTAGGCTCCCCACCATAAGCGGTGATACAACCTGCTGGAAAATTAACACATGGGCTCACCATGAAAGCTGGATGAATATTAAATAGGTTAGCAACGGAGAAAGGACAGGGACAAACAAGCATTCAGTTTTGAGACACTAGATTGGGTTTTCTTTCAATATGTATACTGACTCATTAACTATATTTATATTCAGAATAGGGCTGTCAAATAATTGCAAATAACTCATGTGATTAACTCAAAAAAATTAATTGTGATTAATTGCACGGTTAAACAATAGAATACCAATTGAAATTTATTAAATATTTTGGATGTTTTTCTACATTTTCAAAGATATTGATTTCTATTACAACATGGAATACAAAGTGTACAGTGCTCACTTTATATTATTATTACAAATATTTGCACTGTAAAAATGATAAACAAAAGAAATAGTATTTTTCAATTCACCTCATACAAGTATTGTAGTCCAATCTCTTTATCATGAAAGTGCAACTTACAAATGTTACGTAATTGCTGTCAAAAACAAAACAATGTAAAACTTTAGAGCCTACAAGTCCACTCAGTCCTACTTCTTGTTCAGCCAATCGCTAAGACAAACAAGTTTGTTTACATTTACAGGAGATAATGCTGTCCTCTTCTGATATACAATGTCACCTGAAAGTGAGAACAGGCATTCGCATGGTACTTTCATAGCTGGTGTTGAAGTTATTTATGTGCCAGATATGCATTGCCGGCTCTAACTTTTTTGCCTCCCCAAGCAGAGAAGCAAAAATAAAAAAACAGCCACCGAAGAAGAAAAAATGAAAAAGCTGCCATCCAAGTGCCACCGAGGAAGGGAAAATGAAAAAGCTGCCGCTGAAGTGCCACTGAGGAAGGGGGGAAAAAGAAAAAAACAAAAAAAACCCCCACACCGGAGTGCCGCCCCCTTCTGATTTGCCGCCCCAGCTTCCTCAGCTGGTGCCTAGAGCCAGCCCTGCAGATGTATGCCTTCATGCTTCAGCCACCATTCCAGAGGACATGAATCCATGCTGATGATGCTCATTAAAAAATAATGCATTAATTAAATTTGTGACTAAACTCTTTGGGGGAGAATTGTATGTCTCCTGCTCTGTTTTACCTGCATTCTGCCATATATGTCATGTTATAGCAGTCTTGGATGATGACCCAGCATGTGTTTGTTTTAAGAACACTTTCACAGCAGATTTGACAAAACGCAAAGAAGGTACCAATGTGAGATTTCTAAAAATAGCTACAGCACTCGACCCAAGGTTTAAGAATCAGAAGTGCCTTCCAAAATCTGAGAGGGACGAGGTCTGGAGCATGCTTTCAGAAGCCTTAAAAGAGCAACACTCCGATGCAGAAACAACAGAACCCAAACCACCAAAAAAGAAAATCAACCTTCTGCTGGTGGCATCTGACCCAGATGATGAAAATGAATGTGCATCAGTCCGCTCTACTTTGGATCGTTATCAAGCAGAACCCATCATCAGCATGGATGCGTGTCCTCTGGAATGGTGGTTGAAGCACAAAGAATCATACAATATCAGGGTTGGAAGGGACCTCAGGAGGTCATCTAGTCCAACCCCCTGCTCAAAGCAGGACCAATTCCCAATTTTTGCCCCAGATCCCAAATGGCCCCCTCAAGGATTGAACTCACAACCCTGGGTTTAGCAGGCCAATGCTCAAACCACTGAGCTTTCCCTCCCCACAAAGGGCATATGAATCTTTAGTGCATCTGGCACACAAATATTTTGCGACACTGGCTACAACAGTGCCATGAGAATGCCTGTTCTCACTTTCAGGCGACATAAACAAAAAGCAGGCAGCATTATCTCCAGCAAATTGTAACCAAGTTTGTCTGAGCCATTGGTTGAAGTAGGACTGCGTGGACCTGGAGACACTAAAGATTTACATTGTTTTATTTTTCAGTGCAGTTATTTTTTGTATATAATTCTATATTTGTAAATTCAACTTTCACAATAAAGAGGTTGCACTACAATACTTGTAAGAGGTGAACTGAAAAATACTATTTCTTTTGTTTTTTACAGTGCAAATAATAATCAAAAATAAATATAAAGTGAGCACTATACACTTTGTATTCTGTGTTGTAACTGAAATCAATATATTTGAAAATGCAGAAAACATCCAAAAATATTTAAATACATGGTATTCCATTATTAACGTGCTTAATCACAACTAATTTTTATAATCACATGATTAATTGCGATGAATATTTTAATTGCATAACAGCCCTAATTCAGAATATTTTTAAATAATCTGACCAATTTTTGGTCATACTTGCCAGTATAGAGAGCTAAACCATAATTTACAAATGTTCACAGACATACAAAAATTATGTAGAAAATCAAACTTACTATTAAGATAGTAATAGAACTTTGGCTTATACTACAGAAGTATAATATAGTTATTTAACACAAATTGTAACCATGTATATTTAGTATATTAATGAAATTGGGCCATTTATTACACGTGTAATGATATTAAGTCAACGAGTGTGTGTATGTGTGTGTGTGTGCGCGCGCGTGTGTGTCTATAACACCATTTTGACCCACTGTCTTTGGGGTTTTTGTTTTGTTTTCAAATTCAATTACCACATGCTTGCCATTTAGTAAAAGCACCTACTTACTAAAATAAAAATAAAACCAAACCAAAACAAAACCCCAACCAAACCACCAAAAAAAGCCAAAGCAAAGCAAATCACAACAAAAACCACTGCAACCCACTCAAACTGGACATATAAGCACTGCACTGATGCTGTTGTGCTTGTGTACATTTACTATCCTTCCCATCTAATCCCAAGGCTGTTGCATTTGGAAAAGGAACCAACCCATGGCTTATTTGGGTAATGCGGATTTGTCACTGGGTGCAAATCAAAGAGTTTTATAATTACTTGGGATGTCTATTAAAATATAATCATGCAAATCATTACTGCTACCACTGTTATATAATTGCAACAAATCTTATACAAAGTGTAACACATAGCCAGAAAGGGTTAAGCATCCTGCAGGCTAACTGACCCAGAGACAACTTGTAAAGACATATCAGAAATGGTAATTAGAGCCATTCTATGTTAGATTGGCTAGAATTTTGAAATGCAAACCTATATTTTAGAAATTAGAGGTGATGCTAATTGTATGTGTGTACTCATTTCATATTAATATGTGAGCTATGTAAACAGACAGTTCCTGTCTGTCACTATAGCTATTGATTCAGAGATCAAAAGAAATATTAACATTTAGATGCATCTTGGGTGCAATCATGTAATTGTCTAAATGTCTCTTTGAAGTTTGTGTTAGAGTGCCTAATGGATAAATTGCATTGTGTTAATTTGGGTAACTAATTACCGGTGATGCTTAGGAAAGAAGTCTTCATTAATTGCCTATTGTTCACCAAAGGACACCAACATGTCAAAAAAGGCCTGAAACTGTATCAAAAAGGGCTTGGGTCCTGATCCTTTTTATCTCAGACCTGCTTAATGCTTGATACAGGGGAAGCTTGAGTCAAAAGGTTGAGATCTTCAGAATCCCAGTCTGGAATCACCCTGAATACAAACATTGGACTATAAACCTATGAGCTAATTCTGAAAGAACTCTTTGCAATTACAAAGCTCACCATCCTTGCTATGAATCTGAATCTCAAGAATTGTACTCATCTGTGTATGTATACTGATCTTTTAACCAATACCCTCTCTCTTCTTTTCTTTTTTAATAAATTTTAGTTTAGTTAATAAGAATTGTCTGTAAGTGTGTATTTGGGTAAGATTTGAAATATTCATTAACCTGGGAGGTAATCTGTCAGATCCTTTGAGATTGGTAGAATTTTTTTATATGATGAATAAGATTTTCAGTAATCCTCATCACATTTGCCTTGGGTGTCTGCGTGGAGGCCTAAGGCTGGGTTGCTTTAAGGGAACTGTGTTGTTGGCTTCTGGGTTACCAGTGCGGTATTATAGAAGCTGTTATGTGCCAGTTTGGTAAATCTAAGTATTGGAATATCCACCAGCTTTGGGGATTGCCTGCCCCATTCTTTGCAGTTCAGCCTAGTTGAGTGACCTCAGTTGGCTCCCCTGGGACTCCAGTCACACTTGTAAACTCATGAAAACACAAACTCTGTGCTTTGCTTAATTTTATCAAGATAAGACTCTGAAGCAAAAGAGAAAAAAAAGTAGGTCTTCCTGACACCTATTTTATCATGTTTTAACAAAACTCTTTTAGTTTTATGAGCTAAGAGGGAGATTTTCAAAGGCACAAAATGGAGTTAGGTGCCCAGCATGGAAATTTTGATATATATATATATATAAAGCTGTATTCTGGTTTATGAAAGGAAAATGCTGCCTTTACCTTATTGATGAGTATGACAATATCACCTTCTTTGATTGTCAGTTCATCTTCATTCTGTGCTTCATACGGAAATATTACTTTGCAATACTCCTTGACTGAAAGGAAAAATGTGCAATTCAATAAATGATAATCTTATAACATTTTTTATCCAACTATTTCCCTATAAATGTAGTCACGCTATACTTTAAGTGTCTCTATATAAAATATTGTTTTCTATTTTTACTATTTGTTTCTCTGTATATTGTAGACCTTCACAAATTGCATGAAATATTCAGAAGTTCTGTATTGACAATTCCTGCATTTATCAGCTAGGAAAAAAAAAAAGAGTTTTGTAGCCATATGTCATGAACTATTTCCACCAAAATAAATGTAAGCGTTTGTTGTTCCCTGTATTTCTTTCCATAAGCTCACAGAAATTAGAGATGGAAAAGACCTAGGAGGCCATATAGTTCATTTATCTTCCTGCTAATGCAAGGCAATAGATATTTTTAATCTGGTGACTCAAAATAATTAAAAAAATGTAAAGAGGATTCATAAATATTTCCTTGTATATACATCATTAATGGACATTTTCCAACATTACTATAAAGTTTTTTCCTCCTTTCTTTCTTCACTTTCTATAAATAAGGTATCTTCTCAGTTCTAAGATACCAAATACTCCTACTCCTAATCATCAACACAACTGTCATAAAAAAACCCAGTTAATTATGACTTGTTGCTATGCAGCGAAGTCAAGCATGCCAATCCTCATTGAGAAGTTATAAATAAAGAGGATCATTCATTTCTCCTATTAGAGTATATATAAAAATATACAATATTTTAAATCAGAGCCCTCTACTAGAAAGATAGGTGGATGCTTTGTAGATTAATATTAAGTAATTATAAAATATACATCTAGGTAAGTCGGTGCATGGGGATGCACTGTGCTTGAACAATTAGTTTTAATGGGGGTCAGGGTCTTTTCTGGTTCACATATTATTACTCAGCAGGGGATGAATTTTAAGTTGCTGTGAAGTAAGTATGTCAAGATCTCTCTGGCTCACAGCTCTCTTCTTGACAGCCAGGAAAATTAGTACATGAACCATCAGTTTGTAGCCTCTTTCCTCCTCTGAAGATATAATGATCAGGAAAAGAGGATGAGCATACTTCTGGAAAGACCCTCTGACAAGAGCCAAGGAGGAAGAGGCTGATCCTCCTGATACTTTCCAGAAATAGAGAACATCCTCCAATAACAATTTCCAAATACTATTATTTATGTATTAGTTGCTCAGAACAAAAGAACGGTCTCCAAGGATTCAGCATGGGAGAACCTGAGACCCATAATTAGTATTTGAGGTGGGACGAGAGTGGTTAACTACCAGTCTGTAAGTTGAGTCTTGGACCTCTCCATCTTTTCTCTGGGGCCAAGCAAGGAAGTTACTCCAGCTCAACATATTGAGCAATTCTTCTAGGGTGCTTGACCCCATATCACTGTAGGAAGGAGTATGCAGAATAGTGGAGATATGGGGGTGGAAGACTTACACGCACTGATCTAGAACAGCTGGTTGTGGAGCAAGTGAACAGCAAGGAGAGAGAGACTGATAGAATCAACTATGTTCTCATCGTTTCATTTGCATGTGGGCTATCATCATAATAATTTTGTATTTATAGAATCTACACACCACAAAGAAAGATTTTGACAAACAACAGATTTAATAAATGTATGCAGAGCTGGTATCAATTTAAGGCTGTACTTCAAAAAAGTGTGTGCAGCATCTTGTGTAAAGCCTCTTGTTATTAGGCAGGACCTTAGTGATTCATTTTTATGACACAGAATGGAATGTTGGGAGGGGCTGTTGCAGGAAGTGATTTTCCTTTTTGAATGAGACTCGGGAAACTGTGCATTCTCAGGTGCATAAATTATTCCTCTATGAATTAATTGGATGTTATGTTCTCAGTATCAGGTGGGAAACAATGCACAGCAGTCTATGGTGAATAAGTAGAAAGAAAGTATTACATTAGAATTAAAACCCCAGTGTTCTCAGAGAAGGGCTCCCAGAAAGGGGCAATATACGTAGGTCTTAGTAACCCTTATGAGTGTGTAGTGATGATATGGGTGACTGCATAAAAAGGTTGAATCAACTTTCAAGCCTCTGGAAAGGCTAACTGTTTAGAAGAAGCAAAAATAAATAGTCAAGAGGCTCAACAGGTCAAACATATAAAATTCTATTAACAAAACAAGGTGATATTCTACTTTTCTTCGCCACATTAAGACCTCCATAAATCATCTGAGCAAAAGAGAACAACAGGATTAAAATGTGCTTATTTCCAGCAATCATGTTTAGACAGAATAAAAGAAAGGGACAGACTCTAATCTCAGACACACCGCATATATGTATACAAAAATAAATGTTCTGAGAAATGTCAACACATGCCAGAAAGTTGAGGTCAGAATCAAGCCCATGAAACGTAATGGGACGCTGGTTTTCCAGCCTATTACGCTGGTTGCCAACAAAGAGGTGAGATACACTGGGTATTTACACTGAAAAACTACCTCCTAGAGACCACAATAGAATGAACTTTTTTTTAAAAAATGAGATCAACAGTAAATGAGTGGTTAAAGCAATGGCTGCCTGGAGAAAGCTGACAAATGACAACTGTAGACAATAACAAAACAGACAAGCGAAACTCTATCCTCCTGCACCAAAAAGAAAATGTTTGTACAGCCCCTATATTTAGTACTCCCAGCTGCCAGTTTTGTACCCCCTCTTCATCAGCTTCACACTGTGGACTAGTGTACAAGGCACACAAACCTGCACCACTCTTCTTAAGTTCCACCAAATGCCTTGAAATTTCTCTCTGACCTAATGTAAAGGCACATTTTTAAAACAAGACTCCCTCCCAAACATATGCACATGCAAATTTTGGCAAAGAAATACTGGGGGAAGATAAAGACATTCAATCTGATGATTTTCAGTTCTTACTTAATACTTTAAAATGATATCGCTATGTTTACTCTTTCAATCTACATGAAGTGCCAGTAAAATAACTTGAATCACAAGCCCCACCCTCCCTCTCTAGAAATGGACAAATAACCCTTCTTTCTCAATTCATATTCCTCAGGAAACAGACTGAGTGAACAGACAGGCCTTAATATTGCCCCTGAAAATTAATAAACTCAACCTCTTTTGCAGTGGTGTCTTAACTGTGGCCATTGAGGGAGGAGTCATCTTTTTTACGGGGGGGAGGGGTGAAGCTTGACTGAATAATCTATAACTACCACGAATTCTAATTCCTAAATACTTAGCAGTTTATATTCGCTCACTCTGCGCTCTGTCTTTCAGGTAAAACACTTTTCTAATACCACTCCATATCTCTGATATCTTTACTAAATAACATAACGTAACTTTTGTTACCTTAAGATGTTTGAGTTCCTCAGAAAGCTTTTCCCTGTCTTTATCAAAGCCCATACATACCCATAAAAGGGGATCAATTGTTTCTTCCACCTTACAGAATATACATAGTCCATCTTTGTGTCTATTTATCCAAAAAAGATTTTTGTTTAAGTCACAACTGGTTAGTACGCTAAACTAAATCATTTCATTTACTCTACCCAGCCTCTGATGTATGTTGTTATCCTCAGCTGTATGGCACAATAAATCTTCTTCCGCTTTCTTCACTAATCCCAAATTTTTGCCATTCCTTTTTTAGGTTTTTCTGTACTAGGCTTTTAAATTCCTGTTTACCCAAGGGTATTTCTATGCCAATCCTTTTATTTCATTGTCTGCCTTTTCATTCCCTGATCCAAGCTAATGCTAACGGTATCCCCATCTGTAGTAGCTATCATTAGAAATATATTATTTCATTGATTAAATCACTTCTACACACTGAGACACCTTTTTTTTTTTTATCATTATAAGACCTCAGACTGAGATAAAAAAAAATGACCACTTCTGTTGGGAGTACACCTCAGATCCGATTTAATGCTAGCATTACTGCTACTAGTTTGGCTGTCATGACAGCTACAAAATCAGATGTTCTGGTAGATGTACTAATTCCAACTTCTGGTATACCATATGCTGCCCCTACTCTTCCTATTTTTTCTTTTTTGGATCCATCTGTATATATTTGAAAAAAACAACAACTACTTTTCATTTATATACTGGTACACTTCGTTTTTATTACCTACCGTTTCTTTTTTACGCTTACGTTTATAAAATAAATTTAAATCCGCATTTGGACATGCAACTTTCCATCTATAACTAATTTTTCTACGACTAATTTTCCTACAGTTTTCCAAAACAACTAATAGTTTTGACTTTGTTTAGCTTTTCCTTGCCTTTCAACTTCTGCTTCCACACTTTAACTCAATCATGTGGCTTTCTCAAATCATGTGCCATCATTCACCAACCAAATTCTCAACAATCCTCGTAGATTTGTTTGGTACTTTCCTCACTGAAATTCTCATTAACTTTGGCCCACAAAGTTAGGTCCAGTAGTTTCATTTGTAGCGTAACTGGCATTTCACTAGAAGTGATCTGTAGTGTGTATATGGGTGTTGTAATAAATGAACCGCATACACTCACAGTGCCTGTGCTTATATTAAATCTAATTTTTTAAGTTCTGATTTTGATGCTGACACCCAGGCCATAGTCAATAATTGGGCTGATTAAAGCTCTGTATACTATCAACAGTGTTTTCTTATCCACCCCGCAAGCAGTCCCAGCCAAACTTATAAGCAGGTTACTACTTCCTGTACGTTTATCTTTAACACAGTCTATACGATCTTTCCAAACTAATTTAGTATCAAATATTACCTCCTAGAAATTAAAACCTTTTACCTATGTCTATTTGTTCTCCATACAGATATAGCTGACATTCCTTTATAACCTTCCTTATCATAAAGACCAATACTTTGATTTTAGTGATGGAGAATTTGAAACCTCAAGCATTTTCCCAGTCAGAGGTCTTTTGTAATGCTTTGTTGATTCTCTTTTCTCCCACTTCAGTATTCTTGCTCCTAACCCACAGAGCACAATCATCTGCAAATAGAGTGACACCTACTCTGGCACTTATTCATGTTGGGAGATCATTTATTCTAATATTAAAGAAGGTC